AGTCAGGAATCACATTTTATTAATGTAAGGAAGCCAAATGAAGTGGGACTGTCAGAAGGGGAGGGGGAGTAGCTAATATCAGTAGGAGGAGTCTGAAAGACAAGCAGCAGTACATGAATCTGTGGGTGGGAACCACTGTCCTAGCCACTCTCATGAAGGATGATGTGATCAGCGCATGCTTCATACTCTGAGAATGAGCCATGCGCATGCTGTTTAAATGAGATTGTGTCATGAGAACAAATGTTCCCTAAGTCTTTTTAAAATCACAATGAAAACAAAAACCCCAGCAGACCCAGATTTCATCCCTTGGAAATGAGAATAAAGTCCAGTATTTTTTTTTTTTTATGATGATAGCTAGTAATTATCTGGAAAGAAGCTTGGGTTTTGTTTTGAGTTTTTCTGTATACAACATAACTGTTGTATTTTTTTCATATGAAGCTGATGAATTATTTTCTAATGATTCTACTGCTCTGGCTGCCTGGATATGAACACAATTGTCTATATTTATTGGATAAATATATTGTTATGAATCTTCATGTTACTTTAAGGGTTAATCATCAGGACTCAATTAATGAGGAAGGCTTCAGCTGAGGTAACTCTAACTTATAGAGTAGAGACCTGCTTTTTAAATTATTTCTTATCTAGATCTTTCTGTAGTGAATAACAACAGACAGGTTCCCCTGGCTGTAAAAATCATCCCAAAGTGAAATGAACTGCACTCTGTAGGTTGCTAACTTCCCACTGATTATAGAAAGGGGTCTAAAGATTAATTTTAGATGGGACATTTAAGTTTTTAAACAGCTAAAGACAGATCAGGTGAGTTCTAGCTCCTAAACCTAAGATGCTTGAGCAACAGTCTTGGGACAACAGTTTGTTCCTAAACTTACATTTAAAGAATGATGAGAAACCCCCTAGAAGGAGAATTTTGGAATGCTTTTGGTTCATATTAACTACCTTAAACCTCACCTCACCAAAAAAAAAACCAAAACCAAAAACCAGAAAACAAAAAACAAACCACCAAAAAAAGCAACCCACAGTTGAGTATGTCTACATATGCAGTGGAAAATGTCACTGCAAATAAGTAGCTTTTTGTGCTGAATACAGAGGAATATTTTGATCTATGAAGAGGATATAAAATCTTGATCACTCCTATTCTTGTAGAGCTCAGTGGCAGAGATTTCTGCATATATTGCCTATATTTCTGTCTTATATTGGAAAAAAAAAAAAACAATCCACAAGATTAATGTTTTGGATACTTTGCATCATCCTTTTCCTTCTGGTCTGATCACTGTAGATCCTTCCAATGCACTTTATGCCTCCTTGTCTTTTGGTAAGGAAGGCTGCTATTACGGGAGTTTTAAGGGGCAAACTTTGAGAGACCTGGATATGTATTTTGAAGTACTAAGCAAGTTTCTGGAGAGTGAGTCAGAGGTTATATGTAATGACAACTATATTCTTCTAGTATAGTATTAAAGTGCTTTTAATAAACAGCCTGGTTTTCTGCTTCTTCGTCTCTCAGGTTCTCTGCCTTAAACATATTATTGTCTTGAGAACTTCTCTGTAGTGTTATTATATCAAATTTTGTGACATTTAATACATTGCTTGAAGCCAGTGTGTGGTGTGTGACCACTTCTTGCCTTTGAGGAATTGCCCCATCATCTGAAATCATCTGAGTTCCACTGCTAGATTTCATCCTTCTAGGAGCTTCCCTCTCATCCTGGAAGGTCTCTCCAGAAGCTCTTGAACCAAGACAGTAAATCTTGAAATCCTGAAGTACAGGTGGATTACAGTCTTCCCTTTCATTTGAGATTCATCTATAATTGGTGACCTGTTAATCCCCCCACCAGGAAAAGCTGATCTCCACAAACCTGTTGCACATAAAACTTTTTCAGACGTAGGGAAAAATGTCTTCATTTTATTATCACTGAATAGATCTACTAGCCCTAAAAATGCTTCAACTTCTTCCTTCTTATAGCTTATTTCATAGGTTCATTTAGCCTACATATGTCATCACCATGCCAAGCATGCTAAGTTGCTGTTTTTCTTCACACTGAAGACCTCACAAGCTCATTCCCTGTAGCGTCTTCATGTCCATCAATTTATATTGCTTGGCTGACTCTTTGTTATTATTCAGCTAGATTTTTGGTGCATTTCTATGCATTAAAATCCTTTTCAGTGGTGTTCCATGATTCCAGACTCTTCTTGACTATCCTTTTCAAAATTAATTTCTTCTTCAAAGTTCAGTTTTATTACTATTGAGACATGAGAATTTCTTTTTCTCCCAAAAACCACACACAACTCATTCAGTTGACTTACTTCCTCACCTTATTTTTCATGCCTTTTCTAAACTTGCTCATTAGCTGTTGTCTTCTCATGTATATATTTTTCCTATGTATGGTAGCTGAGTCCTTGAAGAATACAAGTTTCGTGGAAATGCCACAGAGTTAAGACACCTGTCTTATAAAGCACTAGTGCTCTCAAATCTGGCCTCTGAAAGAATAGAGAAGTGATAATGATGCAGAAGAGAGGTCACAGGATTTTCCCTGTCTTAGCAGAACACAAACTGCTTGCTGGGACCCCGCACTCACCATCAGTTCAGCCTTTAGGACACCTTGGTAGATCAATTGGATCAAGATTCCAGTCCAAAAGCCAGCACTACAGAAACCAGTATTAAACAAGTGCTTAAGACCAAACATGAGACTGCCCTACACGTTCTGTGGTGACTAATTTGCCACAGGTGCCAACAAGTGACCTCTCATATTTTACTGCAAAGAAGTAATTTCTGATGTCTGCACTTCATATATCTTCCCTCCATGCCATGAATTCCTCAGGAAATTACATTAGGACAAAGTCTGAGTAATATTAATACCATTCACTTAGGCTCTTCTAATTCTTCACTCAAATCCATACTTTTATCTCCTCACATCATTGACTTCAGTCCTGGTAACGCTGCTATTTCAGAACTAGGTTTGTGTCTTCATACTCACACAAGTCCTTCTTAGTTGCTACTTCCATGCTTGCACACACATATGTACTTGATACATGCAATGAAAGGGCAAGTGCCTGAATTTATTAGGCTGCAGAAATTGCATTCACAAATATCGTAATGTTGTCAAAAACAAAATTCAGAAGGCCTGAAAAAGTATCCTACACAAAGGTTTAGTGCTTCCATCTTTTCTGATGGGGAAGCTCAAATTTCATTACCTTCTGGGTCAAAAATGTATCAGTCACAAACAGATAGTAGAGATGACAGCCCCAGTAAGTCATATTTAAAAACAAACAAACAAAACCAAACCAAAACAGAAAAAACCCTGACACAGCTGTGTTCTTCAATGCTTCAGATCAGGTAGGAACTCTGAATGCTGTCAGTTGTGATATTCCTTCTGGAGTCAGCACTCTTGTGAAAGCTGCAAAGTCATCATATGTGTCTTTAAATCCATCTTGCCTTTATCATTTTAAGAAGAATGTCCTAAGAACTTCTGTTGTGGTGTGATACTGCCACAGACGGAGCTCTGAGATAGAAGTAGGTCCTTTCAAAGAGGTGCACCAATGGCACCAGAGCCAGCTGGAACACAAAAATAATCCATCTGACAAAGGCAACTCCTTACATAGAGAATAAGTAGTTCTATGAGTGAGACTCTTCACTTGCAAGGTCTGCACATGTCTCCAATCTTTGCCCACTATGTCCTTGCATGGTGAACTCTCCCCATGTTGCCTCTCCTGCCAGCAAATTTAGTGGCTTCTGCTGAGTGTACTGCACTGTTTTTTCTGGTCACGACTGCTGTTCATCCTTCAGCTCTTCTCCCATCTGTGGCTCTCAGAAATCTGATAGCTGTAGTGGCTTGTTCTGTCCCCCAACTCACCCTGCCTGACCTGGTGTCCCACACAAAAGTGCTTCTTGACCATGTGTGCACAATTCACCTCTCCCCAGAGCTGTCCCACACTGCAACGTCCAGGAACGTCAACTTTCCTGACATGGCTTAGCCCCACATTTTAGAATAGAATATTTCAGTTTGAAGGGACCTACAGTGATCATCTAGTCAGTTTTTTAATAAATGCACAATTAACAAATATTTAAGCAACAAAGTGAAGAAGCATATCAAATATTTATACCATCTATCACCTGTGAAGTGTTCAGACCATATTTAATCTGATACACTCACTAGAAAATTATAGCAAAATCCTTTTGTGTTGCTCTTTTCAGTGGTATTAGTAATTGCCTTTAAGACTGTTACAGTCATCAGGCTGTCAGAAGGGTTACCAATCCTGGTCTGATGGCAGGTAGATGCAATTCCAGCTAGATGTTGTCACTGAAGGAAGAATGCCTTTGGTTAGTAAATCTGTAAGAGGACAGTGAAAGGAATCATCGGAGAACAAAATATGTCACTTTACTACAATTTGTATAGGTCATCTCTATTTCTAGTATAGTGAGAGATGACTGAAAGTGAATGGTGGAGAGAACTGAGTAGCTGCCCTGCCACATACCCAGTAATTGCTTGGCAATACCTTTCCAGTGTTTTGCTCATAATTTATTTAGTTCACAGCACATCAGACGCTCTTTTCTTCTGGCTATGCACATGAGTTATTCCTTTAATAGTCTGCCACAGACTCACTAGTTAAAGAAAGCACTGAACAGGAAAGGCCAAGCATCCTTATCATTAGACAGTATAACTACCTAAGCAGGGGTGTTTCTGTTCTTAGTGATAAATCTAATGCTTCAGTCACACTACAGGAGCTGAAGCACTGTGATATGTTACATGGAGAGGACAGCAAGACCCTCTGGTAACATTTTCAACATTGACACAAAAAATGTTCATAAGAAGCAGTTAATTATCTGTGGATCTTAGCTGTTGCTTACAAAGACATTGATGTATTATGGTAGCCCCAGCAGTGTCCTTGTATACAAAACATTTATTTAGCCCATTATATACTTAAAGCATCATGAAAACAAGTTGAAAGTGTACAAAGGAGGAAAATGATTACTTTTGCTTATTTTGTAGCCAAAAGCTGGGTCTCTTGGATCGGGTTCGTGGTACCAATACTAAAGGAAAGCTATTTACCCCTCTGAATGTAGATGCCATTGAAGAAAGTCCTTCAAAAGAGCCTAAGAATGTTGTCTTGAATAATAAGGAGCGTTTTCGCACTGCATTCCGAATGAAAGCGTACGCTTTTTGGCAAAGCTCAGAAGGTAGCCCATCTGTGTTGATTTCTTTCTATCCATCCCTTATCCTTCCCATTTTACTTTGTTCCTCTGCATCTTCTGTTGAAGGTTTGTGACTTTTGGGCCAAGCATGGCTGGTCCCTGGTTTTACCTGGCACATTTGGGCAAGCTCCAGGAAATGAATCCTGGAGTCCAGGCAACACAGTGCTTGAAATAAGACAATGACCTTCCATAAAACCAGCAATTGATATGGGATAAAGCCGGTGGTGGAATCAACCTATTTGACCTGGAAAAAGAGGGCACACTGGACAGTGAACCTATATCCCCAAAAAAAGCACATGCCATTATGGCTCATTTTATCATCAGGGATGCTCTGCTAAGGTTGCTCCCTCCTGGACTGCATCCAGCCCTGCCCTAGCCTGTGCCCAGGGATCTCCAAGATCTCCTCACTGTGATCTCTTAAACCTTATTTTATAGAGTGAACTGCTGCTTCCCTCCCACTCCCCCTAAGACTGCTGCCCCTCAGCAGGTTTCCATTGGGTGTCTGTGCAACATCACAGGGCATTTTTCGTCTCAGCTTCCCTGGGCATACATTTTCTTCTTCATGGCCATAAGGTCTAAATGATCTTTAAGTAACAGTTTCTGCTTTATTGTACCAGCTGGCATCAGTGCAGGCTGGGCATACCACCATGGAGGTAGTCTGGGTGTCCACACCAGGAACTTGATTATTCTCTTCCACAAAGGTAAATGAGCTCCAGGCAGCGCAACTGGGAGGAGAACTTGGCCTGTTGTTTCTACACCTGCTTTAGCCTTATGTAAAATAATTCTGGCAAAGGTTTTTTTGTTGTAAAAGCTCCTAAACGTGGGAACATATAAATCCATTGGAAAGAAAGAACAGTTCCCAATGTTTCAGAAATGCTGGAATCTGAGAGGAGATCCCTCAAACAATGTCTTACAGCTGTCCCAGCAGAATTATCAAATCTCTTTCAAGACCTGACCAGAGAAAGAGGAACCTGCAAGAGATGTTCCTTTACTAAATTACACTTACTTTGTGTAGTGATTTAGTCACCTAGACCTCCCTCTAAATATTGTATGGTCAGGTGTTCACACAGCTTTTTTTTGACCTGCTTTGCAGATGCAGGAACAGGAGAACCCATGACAGAAGAGAGAGGCGACAGTAGCGACTTCCTTATGGAAGATATGATCCCCACATTCAAGACAGCCATCCGAGCTGTCAGGTAAATGTCTCTAGTGCTGCTCAATGCTTTGGTTTGACTTTGAATGCTTAAGCTTCAGAAAATCACATTACCATGTTGCTACATGTTGATTCATTGTTGCTGTTATTAATTTTTAAAAATGCAATAGATAAGTAATTCTGCATATATTGAAAAGACAGGCTCTATTTAAAGACCTCTTTGAAAATATTCAGAAGGGAAAATGTTTTTCAGTAACATTGACCATGCCATTTTTGCATGGTCATAAATGTATTTATTTTAAAATGATATTGTATACAGCTCCTCATTAAAATATGATGTAAGTATAGCATGCCTCAATTTAGCGACTGTAGTATTTATGTAGAACTGTAATTGTTGCTTAACAATAAACTCTGAGCTGACTCAACTCTTTTTTTATTCAGAATTGTATGAGTGTGCAATATATTTTTCAGCTGTCATATTTTAGTAGATGCTGAGGTCTCAATTTCAGCAGCCTTCAGCTTGTGACATGTGTCACCCCTGTTTTTGTCTCACAGGATATTCCCTAGGGTTAGAAAACTCCTAGTAAGGCTTGATAATGTGTTTAGCACATCAAGCACATAGAATTCATTCACTGATGCTCTGTTACTCCTCCACTGAGTATTTTTTACTCTCCCTGAAAAATGCGCCCATGGAAAACACTCTGCTTTCATTGCAATTGCTTTTTATTCCAGAAGATGTTAAGTTTTGGGCCAGGGAGTTACTACCTTCTAGGTGAAATACTGCAAGTCTGGAGTGCCTCAAAATTGTTTTTTTATAAAAGCTTCAAGGGAGATTGTTACAAGTATATAACCACATACTTATGTATGTATAACCATAATATATATTTTCCTGGTTCTTTTCCAATTGGGTGCAGAAGAACCAGTCATTAAAAATTTCAAGTTTTCTCAAGCCTGCTGAAGGCCATGTCCTGTAGGCTTTGCTCATGTTACCCATGGCTGCTTCCCTCCCGCTGGAAGTTTCTTCATCCCTCCTTCCTCCTCAGTTTTCCCTTTCTTTCCCTGATACCTGCTTGCTTTCAAACACAGACTATACGTATAATCTGTCCTGTTTTCCAGCCCCACCTCCAGGAGACATGCTATTATTACTTTTGCAAATCTTCCTTTCCCACATCCTGTGCAAATCTAATTGATTCATGCAATTTCCCTTTAAACTGAATCATGAGCCAAGCTTTTCTTTTTTTTTCTCTTATATAGTTTACCCAGACCCTGAATGTTAATGGGAAGTAATTCTTTCAGCCAAAACAATTTAATGGATTTCCAGGGTCATGATCAAGGAGATTTTAAATTGAAATTGCTATCAGTGTGATCCCTATTTTTCATTTATGCTTTTTAAGTATAGTTTTGCTGTTATTAAATATAGTTTGGCTATAATAGGTATAGCTATAATTTTGAATCTTGAAAGATTTATAAGCAACAGAGTTAAAGAGTTGAAACCCCTTAAAAAGTCATAATAGAATCTTTGCTAAATGAAAGTTTATACTTTCAGATGTTACAAGGGTTAGAAAAACCCCACCAGCCTTGAATGTAAAACAGGTCAGAATCTTGACAGTTGACAGCAATTCCCCAATCCAGACCAATAAGAATATGGATACACTACTAAGAAGGCAAACCCTCGGACCTCAAGCCTAAAATAGATTCAAGAAATAAAATAGTTTGCATTCTTACATATGTTTCTTGTCTGTTTAATATATATAACAGTGTAAACAAATGTATAAACAGAAAAGAATGAAAAAAGAAGAATGCCAGTGTTCAAGTGCCCTTATTATAAGAATTCTGTTATTAATTCCTAGGATGTTTTATGATAATAATTATTACTATTATTATTACAACAATGACAACAATAATGTTATACTGCTGTTTTTTTCAAGGATACTTCAGGTGGTTCTAACACTTTTTCTTTTCTCCATAATTTGAACTGCTGCTGACTTCTTAACTTTCACATTTCTATCTAATTAACATTTCCTATCCAAAATTTTCCCAGGTGCAAAATTAAAACCAAGCTGAAAATGGTTCAGCATTATATATACTATAAATTATCTTTATAACAGGCTGAAACATAAAAAAAGCAGCTTCAGCTTCACAGTTTCAAACTCTCCTGTGACTTGTATTGTTCAAAACAAAATTCCATGTATTTCATAGCTTTGAACCATTTCTAGTTATGATGATAGTAATGAAAAAGACATTTTGTGTGTATAATTTATTTTGGCCTATTAATTATGAAAAGCCAACTATTATGTATTTACAAATGTAGTATGATATTAGACATTCTCTACTTATGTCTTATTGCCTTGTTTTGAAATAACATGCTCATTTTCCAAACATCCAGAGTATTTATCAATTATTTGATAACATTGCAAATTATCATTATGGAATTTAAGTAAGAAGTTAGTAATTTTTCTGTTTATTATGCAGAATACTACAGTTTCGTCTCTATAAGAAAAAATTCAAGGAGACTTTGAGGCCTTATGACGTAAAGGATGTGATAGAGCAATACTCAGCAGGACATCTTGATATGCTTTCCAGAATAAAATATCTTCAGGCGAGGTAAGAATCCTCTGGTAAATGGGAAAATGTATAGCTGTGCTGGCAAAATAAAAGCATAGTTGGCCTACTTGCATACAAGGCCACCCAGAAGCTATGTCTTTGCATAGCGTAGGTGGTCAATAAGAAAGCCCTTTCCCCAAAGAGTATAGGCAAGTGAGCAGCTAGCAGGGGTAACTGCAGTGGAAGAGGCAACTGGTTCATATTTAGAACAAGGAAATTGGACTAAAAAAATCCTGTGAATTTTCTTGACCGTTGCCTTCTTTGATTAGGATCAAGTTTCTCCCTTTCTCCTCTTTTTACTGATGATAAGTAAAAGCAAGAGTTGCTCTACACAGAGCTTTTCTTTGGGCTGGATTCTCTGCTGACCTGTGCCTGGTGAAACATTTCACACAAGTGCAAAAATACATCAGCACAGAGGGTGTTACATCCCCTTCACTCAGGTGTAAATTGACCTATATGAAAAAAAATGGAATTTCAGGCCTTGGTGACTGTTCAGGTGCAGTCTGCCCCCACAGTTGGTTCCTCACGGAAGCAGTTCATCACAACATGTTTTTGAGGCACGTCTACAGAAATTTGTGCTGTTTGCATCCTGAGCCGTGGGCTCAGGTCAGAACTTGAGCTAGTAAGTTTGTCTGGGTTTGAGTGTACATGCGTATGTGTGCACGTAGCTGTATGACTCCAGTCTCAGCACAGCACTGCCCTCATTCCCTGAGCCCCCTCGAGTCACTTCGAACAGCAAAGTGCCACTCTTGATTTCTTTCAAGAATGGGCTGAACGAGTGCAACTCTTGCTGCACATTTGGACCTTATCTAGACTTACCTTGAGTTTGTAAGGCTGCTCTGATTCTTCTGCTGAACTTCATAATTTCTTATTTCAAAGTGCTTTTCCAAGTACTGAGCTATCTCATTTTCAAGTATATAATGTCTGGTTCTTACATCACTGTTATTGCTCTAGAAAAGCTGCTCTTTTTAATTGTATACCACACAACATGATTGTTACTCTATAAAATGAGCTCTGCATCACATGAGCTTAGGTTTCAGTGCAGTAGTATCTTTTTGAACTCAGGAAATTAAGGAGAGCTCATGTCAGAAATCTGCATCAGTGGTGGGGTCTACATGCCTTCTACTGGAGATCCCTCCTTCACCTCAGAATGAGGTGCTGTGTGATTTTGGACAGCAGAGCACCTCTCAGATAGTCACTTGAGTCCTAGCAGCAGTACAGGTGCCTGACATGAGGCTGATCTCACGCAGTGTTTATGGCAGAGCTTTGTGGGGTGAAGACACATCCCAGGTGAGTCAGGACAAGAATCACAGCACAGCCTCAGCCCTGAATGTTCAGATCAGCAATGCCATGCCCCAGTATAGAGAATCACCAGCATAAATGCCCCAGTATAAAGAACTGCAAAATTTCAACAGACATTTTGCACATAGACAGGGAAGACCTTTTTAGAGGTCTTTGAAGAAAAAGCATAATCCTGGCAAGACGGATTAAATTCCTCCTATAGTTGACATAGACCTAGTTAACATGATTAAAGGCCTTTGTGGCACAATTAATCCCTGCTTAAACCAGATGCCTTCATTTTATCAGTTGAATCTCCCTTACTCTCCCTGCGTTTTTTTCACTGTGTTGACTAGATTTCCACTGATTGCAACCGGACAAAACCAGGGATGTGAGTCCTATTCGTTGTGTCTATGAACAGCAAGATGCCACAGGAGTTTGATGAGACATTTATTGATGGCCCAGCAGTGCTTGGGTGCCTAGCAAATATCTAGCTAGCTTTGTGAGGTTTGCCTTGAGCTTTTTTGAGTTCCATTTTCAAAACTCTCTGGGACAGCATGAAACCACGCAATGTACCTGCATGGATTGTCTGATAATACAGATAACTGCTCTGTCGACTAGTGCTGACTGATATCTGTCCAGTTTGATGTGTGGGCTGAATGAACAGAGGCTTGCCTGCACCTGAGCAGTTAGATATGCCAAATGAGAGAATATATTGATATAGTAAAAGTGTGTAAGTAAGTGTATTGATGCCTTCCAACCAATCCTTTTGGTTTTGTTCCAAATGAAAACTCAAGAAGGCTTCCTTGTGAAACTCCATTTATAGTTACATTTTCAAACTAAATGAATAATTAGTAAAGACAAATAAAATACTGTTAATTAGGCACAATAACTGCTAGAAAGTCATTGGTTTATTAAGAGTGTCAGGAATTGCCATCTTTTGCTAAATTCTGAGTTTCACTATCCAGCACAAAACCTGATGGGTCTCTCCTGATATTTTGAGGAGCAGCTGTTACTGGAGGCTTTTTAACAATCGCGCTATCTAGTTCCTTTGAAGGAAACGAACTCATGTGTTTCACGTGTCAAAGCTTGGAAACAGTAAGGTAGATAATTACTTAATTACCATTAAATTACCAGGTAAATACAATTAAATGTATTGATTGTGGACCCAGCACAGAACAAACATATCATGACCCTCAATATATTACCAAATCCAAATGTGCTTCCTTTTTGAATATTTGCTACTGGTTGCTGTGGAGTATCATGTGTTAGCATTTAGAGATGGACTTATGCAGTTGCACTTTTCTTTTTTTCAGAGTAGATATGATTTTTACACCTGGACCTCCATCTACTCCCAAGCATAAGAAATTGCAAAAGGGAGGAGTTTTCTCTTACCCTTCACAACAGTCTCCCAGGTAAATTTTTTATGCCTAGTATATAGAGAGATATAGAGATATAAAAAGTTCATTCATACCAATAAGCATGCCCCCTCATTCATCCAGACAGTAGACTGTTTAATAATGATACTGAGATGATATGTTGCTACAAGATACACATGTGTAAATGTTAAGCCAGAAAGACAATAGCTTCCCTAAGAAAAATGTATGATGGAAATCTAAACTTAATGGCTTCTTAATTGTCAAGCTCAGCTTCTCCACAGTTTGGAAATGTTATTTTTATATAAAATACACACATTTGATAGCTGATGTGCTGAATTTCTAATATTCAGTTAGTAAATCCACTTAAAAATTCAATAAAAATCACCAGTAGTTTGAAGGTAAACCAGTTATCTTCCTCAAGTGAAGAAAAGTTTTGTTATAGCCCCCCACCAAATGGCAAGCGCAGGGTTTTAATGATGCTGCTTTTAAAGCAATGATTGGTGAAAATTACTGAAAACAAATTGCAATACCAGGTTTCTGGGTGTGAAAGTTACAGCATGTTATTGTATTGCTGCCTTCCTGGTAGCAAGAATTCAGTAATAAATTACATTTCTTCTGTTATTTACAACTATCACTCTGTCAATAAATACCCATGAAGAACCACACAAGACCATCAACAATCTGTCCGCAAAGCTGTTATGGTTGCTCAGAACAAAAGTAATCTTACAGATAATAAATTAACTTGGCTCTGTATGGTTTATCCCACCCAATAAAAAATACAAAAACATGTAAATATGAAGACAGAGACCTACATATATGGAAAAGGCAATGATCATTTGGGAAACAGCAGATTGCAAAATTTGAATGAGCCCTTACCATCAGTAACCCAATGTGCAAAATCTGACATGTTTTAGTTATAGTTTCTGTTTTAGTAAGATATATTGACAGCTATAGTTTTAATTTTGTCAAAAAAGACGAACTGGACCTCTTGAACCAAAAGTTTTAGGGTGTATTTGTTCTAAGCCCTGTTAAAGAACAAGTGCTTAGAAGTTGTTTTTCTAGACTTGAACATAGGTTATGGCAAGACATAGATTCCTTTGAGGTTGGTTTGGAATCCTTTTGGTAAAGATTTAACTTCATAATGATCACCCTAGATCCTATAAAATTATAAATCAAAGTTCTTTAGTTAAGCAGATATCATCTTCTTATCTCCTGAAGTTAGTCCATCTGACAAATGGGCAGTAGAAAATCACATAGAAGAAAATTTATTCTGGAATCTACTTTAAATCTGCAGGCCAGACTCTCTTTTGAGCATTTCCAGTCTTTGCCTCTTACTATTTGGTTTAATGAAATTCAGAAAAAAAAAAAAAAAACAAAAAAAAAACCCAACAAAACCAAACAAACAACCCAGAACACTCAGCCTTGAAGCTCAGATTCAATCTTCAAAAACACTAATTATGAAGAATTAGATTTAAAAACACATGGCTGTCTGTAGACCCACTGTCTAGACTACCTCAACATTTTTCACACACCTGAAATTATTCCACTGAGTCTGAGATTGTTTTCACTTCCATTTTGAACTTTTTGTTTGCTCTTGGTTTTTCTTAATCTTTATCTCAATTTTGAACCAAAATAATCTTAAATTAAAAATCAAGGACACATTGTTTGGAAGTGCCTTGGAATTGCATAGAACAGTCTTTTGCTCCTGTTTGTATGATAAATAACTAAATTCAATTTTTTTTTCTTAAATGGGGCTCCAAAGAGCTATATGAATATACCACCAAGATGGTAATTCTGTTTTCTGATATGACTTACTGTGATGCAAAGAAAAGTTGAACACTAACAGAGTTATTAATTCTTTGTAGAAATGATCCATATGTAGCCAAAGCATCTACAGCAGATACTGAAGACCAAAGTATGATGGGCAAATTTGTTAAAGTTGAACGACAGGTATGTAATTTCATTACAATGATGGAGGCTGAGGCACTTGTACAGAAATGAGAAAGCTGATCTAGATTCTGTATGAGTCTTTGTCTGACTCAGGCAGATTTGTACTGTTGGTGATCAAGACTCACACAGATCTTGAACTAATGATCATAAAACTATGTTATTTGGTTTTTATGAAAGAATTTAATTAACTGGGAAGCGTGCATTTTGAAACCTGTTGAATGAATGTCATTATATATGGCAGCAAGACCCTAATCATGATGTTTAGATGGGACTTTTTCATTCCCTTAAACTCCATATTCATTGTGTCTGATGTTTTACCATGAACACCACCTTCTTTTGCAGGGTCTGGCACTCCAAAGGATTGCCTCCAGAGGTGTTTTTGGGCCCTCCTTGTGCATCCTAACCTATTGTTTAGCAAGTCAAGTCACTCTTATTTTTAAATACATAACTAAGGTGGAGGCAAGTGGCATTGATTGACATCAATTCCTTTAATGGAATGTAAATATTCAGGCATAAAATACTATCAAAAGAGAAAGGGAATTAGTCCTGATATCGAACCTTGACTACTAAGAGTTAGAGAATAGGTCTGTGTGCAAAGGTAATTCCATCTGTTGGTTTTTGGTAATAGCTATTTACCATATGGTATCAAGACTTTGATTATAATATTGTGAACTGCTGTTAGATGCTGTACTGCCAAATATCCAGCAACACTAAGAATTTTTTTTGGCACAGTTTGTAGGGACATGTCTTCTTAATCTGAGGAAATTAGAGGATAAGAAGGCATCCACTGCAGTCCAGCTTCCAAGGGAAAGTCTGATTATCCTATAATTAATTATCTTGATGACAATAAAGATGGTGGCACACCATTGCTGGAGGTAGTCCACTTATGGAAGGATTAACTCTTTCATTGAACTTGAGATAATATCATAACATTGGTATTTTTCAGGTTAATGACATGGGGAAGAAACTGGATTTTCTTGTTGATATGCATATGCATCATATGGAACAGCTGCAAATACAAGTCGCTGAGATAAGTCCACTGAAAGAAGCTGCTTTTCCTGCAAAGGAGAAGAGAGAAGAAAACAAATATTCTGAATTAAAAACAATAATATATAAATACACTGAGCAGCGTGCTCCTGAAACTCCTTACAATTTCCAGCAGGTTCCAGTCAACAAAGTCAGTCCTTATGGTTTCTCAGCACATGGTCATATGACTCATTCACAACCTTTATCAATAGGTGGGCAAAACTCTGGCAAACTGCAAGCCACACCTTCCACAACTTCGTATGCAGAAAGACCAACAGTTTTGCCTATATTTACATTAATGGACTCCCAGGTCAGCTGCCACTCTCAAGGAGACCTACAAAGCCCTTATTCAGATAAGGTGTCTCCAAGGCAGAGAAGGAGCTTTACAAGAGACAGTGATACTCCATTATCCCTTCTCTCCGTCAACCATGAGGAACTAGAGCGCTCCCCAAGTGGCTTCAGTATCTCCCAAGACAGAGACGACTTCCCATTTGGCCCCAACGGGGGATCAGCATGGATGAGAGAGAAACGCTACCTAGCAGAGGGGGAAACGGACACAGACACCGACCCTTTTACACCAAGTGGCTCCATGCCTTTGTCTTCTACAGGAGATGGGATTTCAGATTCAATATGGACCCCTTCAAATAAGCCAGTTTAAAAGTGCGTGTGGGGGCAGTCACTGGTTGACTTCTCCATGTAATGTAAGCATACTTTGTATATCTCACTTACTCTACACCCAAAGCTTACTAGGTCAAAACACCAATGGCTGCATAAGATGCATGTGGTATTAGTGGTAGTCATTCTGCACCATTTCATACAATTTACTAATGCAGTTTTTTTCATGCTACCAAAACTAAGGAGCTTAGTTTTGAGCATGGTTTGCATGACTTTACCCTATATAAATGGTACAGCTGATTTCTTCCAAGATGCATATCTATCTGCCACTCTTCAATACAACAATGGTGAATTGAGAACAGGCAAGATATGGTGGTCCTTGCTACATTTTGTAAACAGAGCAGCAAAGTAGAAATATTTTCAGGAGCAGTATAGTATCCCTTTGTAGAAACACAACGTCTGAATCCATTTTCCAATATTAGTAAATCAATCTCTAACCAACCTAGCCAAGAACATATAATATTCAAAGCAGGGAAAAAGCTGAGTCAAAGTAAATGACCTTACTGAAATGTTTTTGTGATGTTATCACTCATACAACTACCTATGAAATACAATGTCAAAATGAAAATTTGAATAGAATTTAAAATTACCAAAGCCATCTCCTGGGATTGATCATAGGTATTTGTGGATGCCCCATCCCTGGAGGTGTTCAAGGCCAGGCTGGATGAAACTTTGAGCAACCTGGGCTAGTGGAAGGTGTCCCTGCCCATGGCAGGGGGGCTGGACCCAGATGATCTTTCAGGTCCTTTCCAACCCTAACCATTCTATGATTCAATGATTCTATGACTCTATTTATTTATTGTAAAATGTAGATATAAATCCCTCAAAATGCTTTGAAAATCTTCACTGGTGGTTATAAAATTGCTCAAAGCATGACTACAATGATATTTTGTAGAAAATCTTTTGCTAAGCCTCTTTGCTAATTGTGAGGCCAGTTTTCTTCTGTTCCAAAAAATAAGGTTGTTCAGTGTAGTTTTTTTATACACTCTATTCTTTTACTGACTTATGTGCTGCTAAGGAAGCTCCATAATGTAACTGTGCCTCAGTTTCACAATTTGTTACTTGGGAGTTATACTTCCGTATGTATACACAGATTGTAAGACTCAATTCGCTAATATTTGCCAAGTGCTTTGAGCTCCTCAGATGTGCAGAGTATTGCTGTTCTGTTCCCTGGAGTTCCACAGTGTGGGTTGTTGCCAGGATCTGTTTGTCTCTTTACCGTTCCTCTTGGAAAGTGGACTGCTTCAAATCCAGGAATATTTAAGATCATAAATAAATAAATAATTTTTTCCCCCCTGTCCCTGAGGAACAGAGGGATAAGTATGCTTCCTAGGCCTCAGCCAAATATTTTTTCATGGGAATTAGAAATATGTTGAGTGAGAGCAGGAAAACAACCCAACCCACTGGGAACAGGGCAGAAATGAATCAAAGATCTCACCACAACAGTGGGAATGTAGTATTTATACAGCTAGTGAAACTAGCCTGTGCAAATATGCAGGATAGGATCATCTGACGTCATTTTTTTAAGAGTGTCTGTTTGATGTCAAGTTCAATGGCTATGTACTCTTTACAGCTGGTAGAAAACTAATCGGTACAGCTGGTGAGCACATCGCAAAGCACACATCAGCTTTAGGATGAGATTAATCCTTGGCTAAGAGCACTGACCAACAAAGACACAAGGATTTGGCCCATGTAAGATGTTAGAAAGTGGACTTTGTGTAGTGACTGCTTGTGTTACACTGCAGCTGCACAACTGAGTGGTGTTGGCAAATCCAGTTGGAGCACAAGAAAGAGAGACACTTTACTGGGCTTCCCACGTGTTACTGGGTGTTGCACAAGCCTGGATAAAGTGCACTTCAATGGAAGATACCTTGTTGGGTTTTGCCCACTGTAGTAAACTTCATGTTTGACTCCACAGTATGGTTGACATCTCGTAACAGTCATTCCGTCCAGGGAGCTTCTATTCTCTTCCAGACAGAGGCATTGCCTTCATCTTCATTGTTTGTTCTCTATTTAAAGAGACAGCTAAAGGATCAGGATCTTCTTACTTCAATTGCTTCTTCAGCTAAATCATGATACGTCCCTCAGGGACAGCTCTTCAGGGAGAACAAATTGCTGTAGTTACTCAAGTAAATAATGCAGACCAGTTACAGCCTTTGAAGACTGGGCTGAGTCCACAGAGTTGTTCTGAGGGCAGCAACTATGATGACATGAGGCACAATTTTAGCAATTACTTAATTGAGAAAATAGCCATTGACCTGAAATATAATCTGTATTTAGTGCAGTTTCATGGCTAAATTTGAAGAGAAAACAGTAGCTGACAAAAGTGTAATTCATTATAATTTGGCATATTGAGAAGAATTCTTTAGCCATCAGGAATTCTTGGAAATACCTGCGTTGCACCTGCTGCAGGCTTTCTGATATATTAATACATCTGTGGCAACTCATAAGTTCTAACATTCATGTGATGAATGAAAAAGAATGAAAACTGATTTTAACATTGCTAGACTTCTGAAATTGGTGTAAGTATATGCTAGACAAGTACACTTCACTTTTCTTATATGTCAAGTGCCTGGCTTCTTACCAATTTCATTTGCGTTTGGTCCTTCTTAAAATGCTTTCTAGATCTGAGCAATCAAAAATTAAGGCAGCCAGAAACCAAGTGCAATCTGAGAAATAATTTTGTGAATGTCTTTGACAGTGGCTGTGCCATGCAGTTCCCTGCCCAGTTCCCCCTCAAATTCTTCAGTTCAGGTTTCTAATCCCTCCCATGCCAGGTCATACAAAGGGACTCTTTTCTTGGTATTAAACCTGGCTCAAAATCCATAAATCACCTCATTATGAAGTTATGCTCATTCCAAGAGAAAATCCAAGCAAGGACAGAAACTTTGTTGAATTTTCACCTGCACACAGAGTACAGCCCCAGAGAAGGTGGGATCTGGGCTGCCCTGCACTGTGTACACTTAGCAGCTGAACTGCCTTCAAGGGAGCATTTTCCATGGGCTGTAAGCACCGATTTACTATATGCAGCTTAAAAACACCAGGTCAGGTATTTGTAGCCACATTGTAAAATATTTAATGATGTGCTAACTGGCCAGATAAGGTCTGCCTCTTCTTAAAAGGCACCAGTGGTAAGCTCAGTAAGACCCTCTGCAGTGGGCATCTGTGGATCTTCTGGAAGAGACCTAAGAAGAAGCTTCAAGGAAAGTCTCATTAACTTATTTTGATACTTATTTTTTCTAGCACACTTACTTGCACCAGAACCAGTCACTGCTCTGTTCAGAAGGGTGATGTGCGTAGCAGCTCTCTGCCTCCTACATCATCTGGATTAAAAACAGAGTGTTCATCAGTTCTGCTGTCTGTGCTGACAGCAGGTAACATGTCAAGGTGTCACCAGAAAGGTGAGATCTGGAGACCATCCCTGATCTCAGATGTGCACACAAGCTTCATCAGACTACAGTTCGGGTTGAGTCTGGGAAGTGTGTCAATCTTGGAACTGCAGTTTATGTTTCTGCCATAGATAGTGGACAAAACAAAATGAAGTATCTGTGATTATTGGCCGTGGCAGTGTAGGTTCACCACATAAGAGGAATCAATTATTCACAGTTTCATTTGAGAGGCATCTGGGTCAATAGTACTCTTCATACTAGGAATGGATCAGATTTGTCCCTTCTGCCCTTTGTGTTTGACATTTCAGTTTAACAGCTATCAGTTTTGTTTGGGTCAGATCTTCCTGGCGTCTAGACTGACACCGACACTTTTTTTTCATATAGTTAACATTAAAGAGAGCTAATCATTGAAATCCACTCTTTGCTGACTCTTAACCCCTACAAGTGACCAAGGATTCATTTCAGGACTTGGGATGTTTTTCATAAGCAGAAAGTCTGGGACTTTCCTCTCCTCTCCTTGAAGTCATTAAGAAACCTTCTCAAACAGATGGGAGCTGGGAGCAAGATTGGGTCCTAGCCTGCCTTTATGAATTTCCTTGTGAAGGAGAGCACTGATCTAGAGACTTTTTCTTAGCTATGTTTTTCCACTGATTTTTCAGTCACTAAAAAATAACACACACCTGGAAGTTTTAGAAAAGGTGATTCTGTGTTTACATTGTGTACCTCTCTTTGCAGCAGCATTATCAGTCAAGCTTCCTCACTTTAGATTCAAACCGAGACTATTTCACTAAGGCAGAAGTGAATGTTTAGCTTAAGTATGCAGGTACAGAAAATGTGGTGTATGCTCCATTTAAGGAGTTAGTCCTTTAAAATAAATCTAGTCAGGTAATGACTATTGTCCTTGCCTTGGCTTTTCCCTGCACTGAATTAATCAGTCTGGCTCCTGTCAAAATAAAAGGGAATTCAGCACGTGGAGAGAATGATCGAAAAGTCCCTAAACCTACTTTGGCTATATATGCTCTGTTCTTATCTGTAACTTTGCTGCATTGTTATGGTTCAGAGTGGAAATAGTTTTAAATTTTTCTGCTTCAAATTGTGGCCCAGCAGCACCACAAACTAATTCCCACCTGAACCCATGTGTGGCGGGGCTGCTGCCATGTGGCCTTCAGACGAGCACCGTGGTCCAGGATCACAGCCTAAAGTAATCAGAAAATGGAGATTAAGGAGCAGATTCAGCCCTGCTGGGAGCCCAGTTGTTGCAGCAGTGTTACATCTGTTTATGTAAGAACTGAATTTGTCCTGCTTCACGTCAAGCACATGAGAAAGAGCTGGATCTTGGTTCCTTGCACTCCACAGCCCCCTCCACTAAGCTTTAGGTGCCTAACAGTTGCAAACCTAAATTTTCTACAGCACCTCACAAATTTGGTGTGAGATCACTTTTTCAGAAGCCCAGGTGAATGGGGGTGTTCACTTTTGAAGACCATTTTCAGAGGTGGAGAGGGAAAGGGGCCCATTTTCAGGTGTTTTTTAGCTGGGCACTGTGGGAATGGAGATGCTGGGTGTCACTATTGCTTCTGATTATTTAGGCTGTAAGATTTGATGATCCTTCCCAATTCAGCTTTTAGTAGCTTCCCTCTAAAGTCAAGTGAAGCAAAACACTGGAAGTGGGATCCTATT